CCTCAAAAAACTGAAAGTGAAGCTCCCATATGACAAAGCTAATTAATTTCTGGGTATACATCTGAAGGAAATGAAATCAGCATTCAAAGGAGATGCCTGTACACTGTATTTAACACTATTCACAATAGCAAAGACATGAAATCAGCCAAGGTGCTCATCAGACAGATAAACGAATACAAAAAAGGAGGAAGGGGTCTGGGAAGGTGGCTCAGTGGTAGAGCGCTTGCCTTGCATGCCTGAGGCCCTGGGTTCGATTCCTCAGCACCACATAAGCAAAAAGAAAAAAGCCCGAAGTGGCTTTGTGGCTCAAGTGGTAGAGCACTAGCCTTGATCTGAAGAGCTGAGGGACAGTGCCCAGGCCCAGAGTTCAGCCCCATGACCGGACCCAAAAAAAAAAGGAGGAAGGAAGGAGAGCCCTAGAGTGAAGCAAAGCACTACCACCTTCCCGGGTTCTGCACCTAATGAAAGTTTTTAGGCAAGGAAAGAATATGCAGGAGGAGGTAAAGGTGAAGAAAGAAAAGTTTATTGGGGTATGCTCCTGGGCGAACTCCCTGGTCGGGACCAGAGAGGTCACACAGAATCTGGTTGTAGCAGGGTTTATATGGCTGGGATCATCAGGAACTTTTAGCATGTAACATGTTTTTTTTTTTTTTTTTTTGGTCTGTGGGGCCTGAACTCTGGGCCTGGGCGCTGTCCCTCAGCTCTTCAGCTCAAGGCTAGCACTCTACCACTTGAGCCGCAGCGCCACTTCCAGCTTTTTTCTTTTTTGCTTATGTGGTGCTGAGGAATCGAACTCAGGGCCTCGGGCATGCAAGGCAAGCACTCTACCACTGAGCCACCTTCCCAACCCCGCATGTAATTTGTTTTGTGAGTTTGAACAGTTTCAGGCTAGTGCCCCCAAAGGACAATGATTGGGACAGGTGGTATATAATTGGGACAGGTGGTGTATGAGGAAGTGGCTTTTCTCAGCTGCCTCTGCCCTCCAGATGTCTCTGGCTTGTTTTGTAAAATACGATGTTCTTCAGTTCCATCCGTTTTCCTGCAGATGACATAATTTTATTCTTTATGGTTGAATAATAATACATTGTACATACAGAGGATTGTTTTTTCTTTGCTGGTTCTGGGGCTTGAACTCTGCCTAGGCCCTGTCTCTGAGCCTCTTTAATGTTCAAGGCTAGCGCTCTACTACTTGAGCCACAGAGCCACATCTGGCTTTTTTTGAGTAGTTTATTGGAGATTAGTGTTTCATGGGGACTTTTAGGCCGGCTTCAGTCCTCAGTTGTCAGATCTCAGCCTCTTGAGTAGCTAGGATATTTGTGATTTCCAGGTCCTGGTACTGGCTCACTGGAATTTGGAAAATGATTCCTCACTTTAAAAAATTGTCAGCAGAGTGGGGTGCCGGTGGCTCATGCCTATAATCCTAGCTACTCAGGAGGCTGAGATCTGAGGATCGCGGTTCAAAGCCAACTGGGGCAGGAAAGTCTGTGAGACTCCAATAAACCACTAGAAAAAACCGGAAGTGGCACTGTGACTCAAACAGTAGAGCACTTGTCTTGAGCTGAAGAGCTCAAGGACAGCGCCCCAAACCCAGAGTTCAAGCCCCACCAGTGACCAAAAAAAAAATATTGTCAGCAGTATTTTTGTAATTAATTGTACTATGTATTTCATGTTCATATCATTTCCAACACTAGAGGTATAAATTTTATGAAGATCTTTAGAGAATTCCAAAAATCCATATTGAAATGCTAAAGTCCCAAGTAAGCACAAGCAAGCACAAGCAATTCTTGCAAAATAAAGCATTGCCGGCAGTTATCACAATTCTATACTTCAAACTATATTATAGAGCCATAGTAACAAAACTCATCTTGGTACTGGGACAAAAAGCAGATCAGAAGACCAATGGAACAGACTAGAAGATCCAGAAATGAGCCTGCACACACACACATTGCCATCTGACTTTGACAGAAGTTCCCAAAATACTGTATATTAGAAAAAACCCTCTTCAACAAATAGTAAATTGGATATCGCTATGCAAAAAACGGAAACTGGATCTATCACTATGTCCTAGTATCAATTCAAAGTAAATCAAAGACCTCAGTATAAAACCTGGAACCTTTAAACTACTGCAGAAAAGAGGAGGGAAACAGTAGAACGTATTGCATATGCAGGAGCTTCCTGAATAGAATTCCAGGGGTTTAGCAAATATGAGAGAAAATTGGCAAGAGGTATTGATTAAGCTAAAAAGTTTCTGTATAACAAAGTAGATAAGTCACTAAGCTAAAAAGAGAACCTATAGAGTCGGAAAGATTAGCTAGCTATAAGTGCCTAGTAACTGGAATATAGAAAGAGCTAAAAACAAAACAAAAAACCTTTAGCCGGGCACAAGTGGCTCATGCCTGTAATCCTAGCTACTCAGGAGGCTGAGATCTGAGGATTGTGGTTCAAAGCCAGCCCTGGCAAGAAACTCCATGAGACTCTTATCTCCAGTAAACCACCAGAAAACTGGAAGTGGCGCTGTGGCTCAAGTGGGAGAGTGCCAACCTTGAGCTGAAGAGCTGAAGGACAGTGCCCAGGCCCAGAGTTCAGGCCCTACAACCAAAGGGGAAAAAATCCTCAGAGATTCAAAAACCTAATTAATAAATGGGTAGAGTTACTAAATACACTTGTCAGAGGGAGAAGTAAAAAAGGCCAATAAATACATGAAGAAAAGTTCAACATCCTTGGTCATATAGGAAATGCAAATTGGAAAACATGGAGATTCCATTTAAACTTCAGTCAGAATGGCCATTGTCAAGAATATGAACAACAAATGCTGGCAAGTGTGTAGAGTAAAAGGAGCCCTGATACATTCTTGATGAGAATGTAAATTAGTTCAACTACTTATGGAAGTCAGAATGGAGATTCCTTAAAAAAGTAAAAATGGAACCACTCTATAACCCACAGTATATTGGTACCACTCTTGAGCATTTATCTAAAACATTACAAGTTAAGACACAGTAAAGGCACCTGAATACCCATGTTCATTACAATACTATTCACAATAGGCAAGTTATGTGAGCAACCTAGATGCCCTACAATAACTTAGAAATGTAGAGTGTGTATGAATGAATGGTGGAATTTTATTCATCTATTAGGAAGAATAATAGGTCATTTTCAGGGAAATAGATGAACCTGGGAAAAAATCATATTGAGTAAGGTAAAACAGGCTTGGAGTGACAAATGGAATGTGTTTTCTCTCATGTGTGGAAGTTAGACCTAAAATAAGGGTGAGGATAGACTCGGTGGGGGAATATATTATAATGTTCAATGGATATTTGTGAAAATGGAACTGAATACTGAATATGGTAGATGAAAGCCACTGGCACCTGGCTTGTATGCTCTCTTATTTATTTCATATTAGATCCTACATGTTGCCTAAACTTGTCTGAATTTGTGAAGTCAAGTGATTTACTTCTTTGAGCCTTTTATGATTTGCATTACTGTACTTCACTGTTTTATCCCACAATTGAGGATGGAGTCTAGGCCCTCACTCATGTTAGGCAAGTACTGTACTGCAATATATCCCTAGCCTCTATCTTCTGATCTTTAGTTCTGGGTATATAAACAAGAGAATAGAAGGCCAAGGAGCCTTGTTTTAAGAGTTATTGCCCTGAATAAATAAGTTGATGCTGCCTTTCCTTTTTATTGAAAACTCTTAGTTGCTTAACAGGACTTTTTCTGAAAAATAACATGTTCCTTGATGAACATGGGATAGAAGAGGAAAAAATAAGCAAAGATTATAATCAACTTCAGATATATACTATCCACTTTCTTTTTGTAGTTTCTAGCTTCATTCTTTATAGAAATAGTACATAAAACAGGAAGCTGTAGGATTAGGAGTGTTCCTTAAGTGGTAGAGAGCTTGTCTAGCAAACATTCAATCCTCAATAATGACAATAAAGACAGACAAAAATCAGAGAGCGTTATAGTTAAGAATGCTTTGTGGACAAAATATAGATACATTCTTAGTTTAGTACCTTAGAGGTTTTAACCTCAGCACAGTTCCATTCAGGATGGGTCAAGGTGAAGTGGGCAAAGGTACTTATAAGAAGGGAGGTAGTAAAGAAAAATCAACATGACCTTTCTACCTAGTCCTCTGGTTTTTTAGCATGTGGATTAAAGAAGGGCTTGACTATAAGTGAATTGAAGACTAGGGAATTATTTTTCATTGTTGTTTACTTTTGTTTGTCCCTCAAAAAGTCTGTTTGCTTTCAACAGTACAAGTGAAATATCCAACCTCTATTTTTATTTTTATTTATTTTTAATTTTTTTTCATTATTTAGAGGCAACCTCTATTTTATAGACAGGGAAACTGAGACAAAGAAGTAAAGTACTTGCCTGTAGTCAGTAAGTTAGTAAATGATTGAGTTAAAACCTCCACATGGGTATGGCTAAGGCAGAATCATCCTGAATTTGACACCAGATAAAGTAGCCAGCCTATGACACCAGTGGCTGTGTAGCTACCTGTGATGTGATGTGATGTGTGTGTGTATGTGTATGTGTATACTTTTTCTCAAATAAAAAAGAGAACAAAAACCTTTTTTTTTTTGCTAATTCCTTTTCTATGTTTAGTATATAATCTGGCATATAGTACATGCTAAGCATATATTTATTGAATCATTGTGTATTGTTTGTGAACACTTATACTTAACACTAAGTAGAATTTTGAATTGCTAGATGAGAGTAATATTGCATATGACTCATATAAGAGGATTATTAAAGGTACTTGTGTTTCAAAGCATGGTCAGTTGGATTCTCCTTCTGTCCTGGAGTAGTATCAGCAATGATTAAGACCAGTAAAGAAACAGGTGCTTGGTCATTCTTGTTGTTTTGTCAATGAAGTAGTGCTTGTTTGATAGAATTTAACTGACTGTATGTTCATATTACAATTGGATGTCTGCTGAGGCAAATGTATTTCTATGTTTATATGATTATAGTCTATTTTTGTTTCTGTGTTACAGGTATTCTTTGAAACCAAATGACCAAATCTTGGCTGAAGACAAACACAAGGAACTGTAAGTTAATTAATCTGTAGGTTGTGTACACATTAGTAATCAATCAGATTTTTAAAATTACATAAAATACAAAGATGTAATGCACACTTATTGTCATGATCTTAGTGGGATTAGAATAATTTATGCTATGTAAGACTAATACAGGGGGCCAGGCATCAGTGGCTCATACCTATAATCCTAGCTACTCAGGAGGCTGAGATCTGAGGATCACGGTTCAAAGCCAGCCCAGGCAGGAAAGTCCCTGAGACTCTTATCTCCAATTAACTACCAGAAAACTGGAAGCGGCACTGTGGCTCAAGTGGTAGAGTGCTCACTTTGAGCTGAAGAGTTGAGGGACAGAGTCCAGGCCCAGAGTTCAAACCCCATGACGAACAACAACAACAAAAGAAAATTAATACAGGGAATTATTATTCCTTTATGCACATTAAAATATATAGCATTGTATAATAGTTGACTAATATTTGGAAATACTGCATTTTCTTTTCAAAGATACACTCTAAAACATTTATATTTGATAATATATGAAATTTAAAATTATTGTTAATTTTGGAATACTACTCAAATGCTTCCTCTAATATGCTGAAGATGGAGAAATACATACTTTTGTTGCTTTATGAAAAAGTGAATGTGTAAAGATTGTGTAGTATACTTCATAAAGTTTGCAACATAAAATGTTTTTACTTTCAAATTTTTTATTCATTTATTTTTTTTTTGTCGGTTGTGGGGCTTGAACTCTGGGCCTGGGTGCTGACCCTCAGCTCTTCAGCTCAAGACTAGCTCTCTACCACTTGAGCCACAGTGCCACTTCTGGCTTTTTCTGCTTATGTGGTACTGAGGAATCGAACCCAGGGCCTCATGCATGCAAGGCAAGTACTCTACCACTGAACTACCTTCCCAGCCCTCAAATTTTGAATATACTTTTTAAAGTTCTTTTTTAAACTTTTGTTAAAAAGAACAGCTGCATATGGAATTCTGGGATATTTTCTTTGACATTTTTCTGCCCTAACATAGTATTTAAAAGATTACTACCTGACAAGAACTGTCAGGATCTTTGTTAAAAGAAAATGATAGGTTTTGGAAATTTACATTTTATTTCAATCTTTTGAGCATTTTAGAATTATTCAAGGAAGGAAGCTTTAGAAAAATTTTATGCAGTTTTATCTTCTAACACTTAAGATTCTACCCTATTTATAGGTATATTAGTGAATTTTATAATCTTCCTTGAAAGTTACCTTAATGTGTTTGATATTTTCTAGCATTAAATACATTTTATTTTAACATCTAACTTAGGTGCTTAATATAATCTTCATTTGTACTTATCTGTATAGAGAATAATTTTCTCTTATAGAGTACTTCTTTAGATTAATAATAGGCTTACTAAAAATGGATGTTTTTGAAATTTATTTTAAGTTATTCCACTTACAGAACTAAAATTTTGACTAAAAAACACCTATAGAAGACCAATTAACCAATTGACAATGAAATTATGCAAAGAGCAAAGTGTAAACCCCATGGTTCTGTTTTTTCTATTTAAAATCATCCCCTAGAGTCTTTGGTATATAGAATAATGTAAGACAGAAACTTGAGAAAAAAGATTGTGCTTAGAGAAACAAGTCATTTTTTCCCTAGTTTTCCCCCAAGGAATAACGAACATATTTGTGAAGCATCAGTGACTAAGTGTATGTCTGAATCACCAGATTTTTGGAACTGAGAATGTTTTAAATGAAAACATAGTTACTTCTTTTAAAGCAGTATCAAGATTATTAGCACTATCTTTGTATTGGTAGCTCAGATTGGTTTATATAGAATTATGGCACTTTTTCAGGAAGTGGACTAGTAAGGTGGGTTTTGCTTACTTGTTTGTCACAGTGTATTGGGATAAATACCTGAGAAAATCAACTTAATACAACAGATGTTTATTTTGGCTCATGGCTTCAGAGGTTTTAGTGCACAGTTGCTTGGCCACATACTGTAGCCCTGTGACATGGCAGAATGTCATAGTACAAAGTTGACGTGGAGGAAGGCTGCTCAATTCTTGGTAGCCCAGGAGTAGAAAAAGAGCTTGAGGTGGGTGAGACCACATAATTATGGAGTCAGAGCCCAGTGATCTAATCATTTCCCCAAAGCCCTATTTCTGAACATTACATTGAAGACCAAGTCTTCAACACGTGTTGGGGGGAGACGCATTTCATATGCAAACTGTAATAATGCTAGGCACTGCTTTTTAAAAAGATATAGTGCAGCTTTTTAAATATATATTAAACATCATTAAATGGCTTATTTTTTAAATTAAATGGTTTAAAAAAAACAATAGAAATTAACTTCCATTTGTGAATGGAGACTTAACCAATATTGAGTTCCTCTTGAAAAGGTAAAGGTCTGCAGTGATAGAAGAATCTTTATTATTATTAGAAAATGCTAAAAACAGAGGAGTTACAGTTACAAGTCAGGCAGAGTAAATTTTCTTTTGTACAATATCACCCTTACCCTAGCTGTCTCTCAATTTTTCCCTCCCATACCACCCACAAGTTGTATAATTCATTTTCAACATAGTGTCCAGTGGGTATCTTTGCTGCCTTTGTTTAACCTATGTCCCTGACAATTCTGGAAAAGCCTGCTTTTCCAGGATTAAGTAGTAAATGTATAGGTTTCTTAGCAACTTTTTAAGCTAACATCATCAGATGCCAGTTTTCGATATTCCAAATGTAGAAGTGCGGATAATTTCATGCTTACACATATTCCAGACATGGTTCTTAATTAGTTAAAGCCCCCCCCCCCACCCCTTTTTTTGGTCCGGTCTTGGGGCCTGAACTCTGGGCCTGGGCGCTGTCCCTCAGCTCTTCAGCTCAAGGCTAGCACTCTACCACTTGAGCCACAGCGCCACTTCGTTTTTTGTTTTTTTTTTTTTTGCTTATGTGGTGCTGAGGAATTGAACCCAGGGCCTCATGCATGCAAAGCAAGCGCTCTACCAGTGAGCCACCTTCCCAGCCCAAAGCCCATTTTTTCTAAGGAATTTTATGCTAGACACTCAGTCATATTGAATAAACTAAAAGGGAAATAGCTACGCCACACACCAGTGATTCATGTCTGTAATCCTAGCTATTTAGAGGGCTGAGATCTGGAGAATCACTGTTCGAAGCCAGTTCAAAGAAGTCCTTGAAATTCTTTTTTTTTGGGGGGGGTCCGTTTGTAGGGCCTGAACTCTGAGCCTGGGTGCTGTCCCTCAGCTCTTCAGCTCAAGGCTAGCGCTCTACCACTTGAGCCACAGTGCCACTTCTGGCTTTTTTCTTTTTGCTTATGTGGTGCTGAGGAATCGAACCCAGGGGCTCATTCATGCAAGGCTAGCGCTCTACCACCTTCCCAGCCCCTACTTGAGATTCTTATCTCCAGTTAGCCACCAAAATGCTGAATGTGGACTTGCGGCTCAAGTGGCAAAGCACTAGCCTCGACAAAAAGTTAAATGAGAGAGTTTGAGGCTGAGTTCAAGCCTTTGTACTAGTGCACAGCATGCGCACTCATGCACAAAAGAAAAATTAGCTTTAAAGTATTTATTTTAGTTTAGTTTTTGCTGTTGTTTTGAGATAGAATCTCACTGGGTAGCTGAGGCTGGAAGTGGTGATGCTCCTGCTGCAGCTTCCTGTGTGCTGGGATTGTGCCACCATGTCGTGAAGAGACACAGCAGTAAAGCACTAATCTAAACTCAAAATGGTATTTTCTGCAGAGCTTCTTACAGTGTAGAAGTTCAAAAGGCACTCAGGAAGCCTAGGCAAGAGAATCTTAAGTTCCAGGTCAGCTTGGGCTGCATAGACCTTGTCTAAAAAAGAGTGCTTTCATAAATATGATTGTATTCTCAAAACTGACTATACTTTTATGTGAGTATAGATCAAAAACCGTTTCAGCAGTTTCATCAAATAATTTCACCAAAACCTCATTAACCTTTTAGGCTAACTGGCATCCTCACCATTTTACAAATTCAGAAGGCTTCCTTACCTAAATTAAGGTTTTAAATTGTGTTCACTATTACTGTGTTTTTCTAGAATTTGTTCCTCTATATACTTGTAAAATTTAGTCACAAGACAAGTTTGTATAGTATTGGGAGAAACAAAATGGAGTAAAATAACCAATTCATTCCAAGGGAAGTCTGTAGTGTGTAGTCATTTTTTCCGGAGAGAGGAAATATTTTAGTCATCTCTAGCATCATTTGCAACAATAACAGCACTTAGAGAGTGATGATACAGTTTTTCTTTCAACACACAAAAGAAAGTTAGCTGTAGTGGCAAAACAGAACTTAGGGCAGAATTCTAGATTGTCCTTACACATTCTCACTGTCCCTCTCCTCCCAAGCCCATAACCAGCTACTTGCCTGCAACTCTTACTTCAGGGAGCTGCAAATTGCCTACCAGCTCCCTTTGCAGTTTATTTCAGCTGATGTGCTTATGTGCTTCTTGAACAATCCAAATTTTTTGCCTACATCAAGGCTGCTTTTTCTTTGATCCTTTCTGGAACTTTAGTTTCTCTAGTTCTAGTTTTTTCTACATTTGAATAAGCCTTAATTCCCATAATAAATTAATTATTTCTTAATAGAGAGGTATTGAATCATGATATGACATGGTTATAGTCTCAGGTACAGCTTATATATAAACTCTAATTCATGGCTAAATCATCTAGGGAGAATTTAGTAAAGTCTCAAAACTTCTTCCACATTACTCTAAGTAGAAGGTACTTGTGTCAGTACCAGCCGCATAAAATTAATTTAGAATGAGAATTTTGTTATTCGTAACTTTCCTTATCTCTTGAATGAAGAAACTGACCAGACTCGTCCTACACCTCATTTTTTCCTGAGAGACAGAATATTTTAGTCATCTCTAGTATCATTTGCAACAGTAATAGCACTTAGACGGAGATGCTACAGTTTTTCTTTCTACACACAGAAAAGGTAAAGAAATATGCAATAATTAATTATTAATGCTCAAAGTTCAGCTTTTAATGCTATTCAAAAT